ATAGATAATAATATGAAATAAATGATAACATTTTATAAACACCACTTGATCAAAATGTACATGTATAAATTAAACAGTATTTTGAATAAATTATTCTCACTTGCAAAGATACAGTTATTTTGTTTATTTCCATGCAAAAAAAAGGTTTTATCAGGTCCAGTCCAAAGACTATTTCTACCTACGTAGTTTTTAATAGCTACCTAGGTATTTAAAGCTACCAAAAGTAGCTATTTTTACCTACTTTATATAATTTCTGCATTTTGTGACCAAAAGACAAAACGGCGCAACATGGTAAATACCATATTTTTTGATATGGTCACACTAATGATGAATACGACAAAAATTTTGCCAAAAAATGATTACTTCCTGAATCGGCAATTTTACATTAGTTTCTATGCAAAATTGATAATATACGAAGTTTTCATTTTTTTGCCAAATTTTTGTCATGTTCATCATCAGTGTGACTGTATCAAGAGATTTTGTGCTCACCATGTTGCGCCGTTCCTGCATTTGGCCACAAAATGCAAGTAAAGCAGAAAGTAGGTAAAAATAGCTACTTTGGGTAGCCTTAAATACCTACGTACATGTAGGTATTAATACCTACGTAGGTAGAAATAGTCTTTGGACTGGACCTGTTTATAACCAATTAATTACATCGTGATACATATCGTATCGTGGCTTAAATATCGTGATTTTAAAAAAGTTGTATCGTCCCAGCTCTAATTTTGTGTACAAAAAAATCAACAGAGAAATTGAAAAGTCAACATGTTCAAGTACATTTTAAAGCACAGTACTCTGTCCGTAAATTTCATGAACACAGAACGAGTATTCATTCCGGTCCTACTAAACAGAGTACACTAGTACGATAGAGTACTTTAGAGTACGCTAGTAATATTTTATTATTTAATGCAATTAAACTACTTTTAATATGTTTTCTACTTTAGTTTAACATATTGAATATATATTTTTTTTAAAAAATTGTAAATTTTCTGTATTTTAGGAGTTATTTCAATTTTTGATTTCAGGTTACGGTTCATCGTTTGATCCCGATAAATCGGATATAATTTAAGTTAAACATGTTAAAATGTCTCATTGTAATTGTGAAAAATATTTACACATGCAATTAATTTAATATTTGATAAAATTTAGATGTAATTCTTTAGTGAGAAAGTCTGAAACAATATAGTAATCGAGATTTGGGTATTAGCTATAGGAATACCGTAATCTTTAATGCGTTTAATTTTGGATGTTATTTCTTGTCAAAATATCGCTAAAAAACAAATATTTGAAACAAATATTGGAAAATAACTTTAAAATAATGTTTAATCAAGTTGTACATACATAAATAAACAATTTAATTGCTTTAAATAACATAAATTTTCTAGCGTACTCTAAAGTACTCTATCGTACTCTAGCGTACTCTGTTTAGTAGTACCCTATTCATTCCGTAATTGTCAAAAACTCGGTTTTCAGTTTCCAATTTCCCGGCCCGGATTTTACTATACATTTTAGTCATACTCTGTGTATGCAGACGATATATGTCATCGGATACAAATTAAACAGACAACCCTTTACGTTTTGCAGAAATCATCTGTAATTTCATAAGAATTTCTATAAAAAAATATAACTTCAAAACGTTTTAATGGAAAATAAACAAACGAACTCACCTCTATACCCATTGGAATACTCATTATACTGCCACAAATCACCAACGTAAATATTACATGGGCGCCGCCATTACTGAAGAGTTCCAAAAGACCGCTTGTGTAATTGAAAAAAAAGTCAGAGTTCGTACTCGAAAATTTCGAGTACGTACTCTTAGGATTTCGTACTCGAAAATTTTTATAACCTAAGATTTTGTTTTCGTACTCCTAGGAGTACAATTTTGAGTTGGAGCCAGAGTTGGAGCTGGAGCCCGAGTCAAGGTTTATAACCTCCTAGCCTGATCCTTCTATGACCCATAATCCGTCAAAAATTGTGAAACAATTTATAAACAAATTTCTTATTTACATTCTTACCTCTGTATGTCTGATTAAAACATCAAAACTGTATCTTCTAGCAATTTCCCCATTTCGAAGCGAAAACGCTTTACTGTTCCTTTCACTTTTTTTTATTTCGACATTTCTCTTGTTCAATAAATCAGATTAAAACAACAATATTTATATCTAAAAGCAATGACCTCATTTTATTCACAACTAAAGATTAGAAAATGTCGTAAAATTTTGTCTCTGAAAATATTTTGCAATAAGACGCTTTTTATGATGCTTTTAATATATTTATCTTTTTTCATTCTAACAATATACACTTTAAAACGTGACGTTTAGTAGTGACGCGGCGACACCCCTTGTGTTTAATGTTTAAATGTCTTTAAAATTAGTTCAATAAAACATTATTAAATGAAATATTTAATTTTGATTACATTTATGTTTATGTTTGTTTTGGTACGTTATATTTGATAATATGACGCCAAATATTAAAAATATGGACACAGTGACATTACTTTTCGATCAACCCTCGTATAAACGATTTCCTTTTCTTTTGAGATAAACGACATTTATGAGAATGTAGATCATACATATTATTCTCAAAATATTATTCCACAGTGTAGGCATACATGGTTTGAGGACAAGAATTATTCATTCTTTCTTACGATGAAGGAGTCACACACAAACGAATCCCCCCCACAAAAAAAACACACACAAAACATTAATGATATGCGGTTGATCCTAGTATACATCGCCCCTATCCCCTACCCCATCCAAAAAAATAAAAAACAATCAAATGCGTGAATAATATAATACATTTAATCTCGGAAAAGTTTCCAAACGAATCAATTAAAACGAAATCGTAGAAGTAGTAAATTATGTGAGGGACAGAATATCTTCTACATTTGATTTTAAACAGATTATTTATCTATTAAACGAGGATAACATTTTTCTAACAGAAAACAGAACGCATATGATTAGCTTGAAGGTCTAAGGGCCGTAACAGAAAGCATGCTAATTAGATTTTAAATGACTTTATTCAAAGTCGCAACCCTAAAATTAATTAAAACAATAAAATGCTTTCTTTGTTTGTTATTACTGGAATGAACGGAAGCAGCTGTTGCAGAAAAAAGCGTAAGCGGGTTATGTAATTTTTTTCTGCAATAGCTGCGACCGTTCATTCCAGTAATAACAAACAAAGAAAGCATTTTATTGTTTATATTTATATCTGTTTAAATATTCATTTAAAGTTTGAATAAAAAGGTTAATTATTGTATTAATAATGCAAACGTCTTTATGCGTTTCATTGATGGAACAGCCACTGATCAAGAAATCTGTACTGGCGACATGCCAATGTAGTTCATGCAGTGATGAACGCAAATGGGTTTTCTTAAGAAATAAAGGGGAAATTATTCAGTGGATGTAAATATATATATATATATGAAATGTTTCTTTATCAAATATATAAGCCGTAAACTATAATTTGATAAGAAAAAAATTGATTTATTTCAGCTGTTAAAGTTGATCATTTTCAAATGGAGCTCTTCTTCTTAAAAAAAAGAGCAATATTGTCTAAAATGCCCCCCCCCCCCTCCGCCTTCTTAATCAGGATTGAGCTTACAAAATGTTCACCCATAAAAATAAAGAAATTGAAATTTCTTGCAGTCGTACATACGACTTTTTATGCCGTTCGTAAGACAAAATGTCATTTGTACGACTTAGTTGTCGTTTGTTCGACTTATTATGTCGTACGTACGACTTATTATGTCGTACGTACGACTTATTATGTCGTACGTACGACATAGTATCTCGTTCGTACGACTTAAAGCGCTATGACAAAAGTATTCGCGATTTTTACGCAATGGCGTCTTTCTTGCGCTGCGCCTCGCTCGGGGAAAGGGCAAAACTCTAATTAGATGCCGTGTTGACATACGAAATTTTAACAGAGTTGTCTTCACATCGGAAGTGACGTTATATGTAAGTATTTTTATCGTCTGCTGTCTTGGATTTTATGTAAACACACAGATATTACGATAGGTAGGAAATGTACAGAAATATCAAATGATGTCAAAAAATTAATTGTGGAAATGAAAAAGGAAGGGCAAAAAACATCAGTAATTGATCTATTTGGAAAAAAATATTTGTCAACTGGTGAAGTCAAAACATTGAAAAGAAAAGGACGCCTCTGGAAGCTGTCAAAACGAGATCAGAACTGGATTATTAGACATACTAAAACTAACAGAGGACTGGTTTTAAAGGATATTACTCATGAATTTAATGAAAGCAGGGATGCTCATGACTTTGTTAATCCACGGACAGTCCAAAGATTTTTGCGTCATCATGATTATAAGCGAAGAGTTGTTATAAAAAAATTGTCGTTTCCGAGATCGACAGAAAAAGGCGTGTTGCATGGTGTTTAGAGAAAAGAAAACTCACAGTGAATAATTACTGGAACACAATTATATTTTCTGATGAAAGTCAGATAGTTTTAGGAGAGAATCATAGAGTGTATGTGTGGAGAACATCTAAAGAATCGTACTTGCCGCAGTGCATGTGCCCCCCTCGGCAGAGAAGGATTTAGGTAATGGTGTGGGGATGCATCACTTACCACGGGGTTGGTACACTTTGCATGGTCAATGGAAATATTAATGCAGTAAAATACATATCCATTTTAGAAGATCAACTTTGGCCCATCATTGCCCGACATTTCCTCAACAAAACCTATCGTTTTCAAGACGACAACGCCCCCGTCCATAGAGCTCGTATTACTGTAGATTACAAACAACAAAATAATATTCCTACAATTGTATGGCAAGCTCAATCACCGGACATTAATATTATAGAGAATTTATGGCTAAAAATCAAGAGAACTCTGCAAAATCGAGCTCCAAACATAAAAACTCCGGAAAAATTGTTCGATGCTATTTTACACATCTAGACTTCCTTCCACGAGAACTATATCAAATCCTTGGATTAATCTATTCCCCGTCGACTAGCAGTAATCAAGTCTAAGGGCCACCTCACCAAGTATTAAAAAAGGTAAGTCTGTTATTTGTTTCACAATTTATTGTTTATTTTTACGAAGCGCATCGTGTTTACGTCCGCCATTTTGAAAAATCGCGAATACTTTTGTCATAGCGCTGTAATATCTCGTACATACAACTTAGTATCTCGTACATACGACTTAATATCTCGTACGTACGACTTTAATGTTATTCTGTCCTATAATCTGAAGATCCACGGTAGTAAGACAAATCCTGATCATGTTTCTCGTCCCTTTGCCTCCTTTTCCTCTGCTTCCACAAGGCGATACACAGGATACAGTTAAGCAAGAAAGACACCCCCAGGGAGACGGCCAGCCCGATCACAACATCATCCCTATGGTCAAGTTTGGCGTCCTTCTCCTTCACTGTTAATTTTTATAGAAAATAAAAGTTGTTACGAGACAATACTTAGCTATTGATACACAAATAAATAAATAAAATAAATAAAAAAAAAATAGAAAAGTAATCCTATTGAAATGCGCTTATGAATATTATACAATGACATATGCAGTATCTGTCTTCCTTTCTCTGGTGGGAATTAAGAGGTCACAAAAATCTTACTGTGTTTCACCTGAGCAACAATGATAACAGATTTGTCTTATCTTTTTTTTCTCATTTTTCTGAGACGATGATAAAATCTTTCATGAAAATATACCTATTTATGAACATATATACTGAAGAAATAGTAAAATAAATTTTCTTAAGGATAAACATAACCATGTTTTAACAAATAAGGAATTGTATGACTCATATCAACATTAATAGTGCTGTTCTTATTCTCTCCATTTGGGAATGAGAAACCATAGTAATCTTAACAGGTTATAACAATTACAACTAGCACGGAAAATAAATGCTATTTTACTTGTCTTCTTGAAATTTTTCGTACCTGACTTTAATAGCTCAGTAGATCCACAGCATTCTCCGGTAACAGTATTACACTTAGCGTCCGCTCCACAGGACTTCCTACATTTATCTCCGTACTGACCGTAGGGACAAACTTTTGAAAAGAGAGAGATTTACTAATGAAACAAAAGACAAACACAGACAAAATTAAAAAGTAAACTGCGATTACCTTGCTCATATTTTTTTTTCTATATATAACAGTAATATCATTTGAAAGGTACTGGGAAATCACAAATTTTCGTGGGGGTTAATTTCCGTTGTTTCTAAGTATGAGGATACCCACGAATTCTTGTGCACCACAAAATGTAAAATGGTACATACCTAGGTACTCATTAATTCGTTATCCACGAATTCAAATCCCAAAGAACCAAGAGATTTTCCTAAAACCACGAAAATTGACCCCACGAAAATATGTGATCTTACAGTATCTTATTTCATGATTTCTTTTATTTATGTATTTTAAAAGGGATGGCATAAAAGGAAATTAGTACCTACCATTTTTACACGCCTGGCCTGTGTACCCCGGCTCACATCCACTGACACACGTGCCATACACGTGATGACAGGCCAAGGCATCTCTACACATACCACACTGAAACTTACAATCCTCACCATATGTTCCACTTGTACACACTAAATTTGTTTGAAATGAGGTTCATAATGGAAGAAATTTCTTATGACAAGAGGTCTAGGTCTTTCTACACAAATACACATAAATAACCTTGCACTGTTGAAAATTTCAAAACTGAGGGTTTTTTTTAAATCTTAGACATGACAGAATTAATTTAAACAAATAATAATTCTGAGGTTTTTCATATCAATAATTAAGACAATGCTAGATTTATTCCTTACATATGAAATTTGGAAAAATTAAACTTAATTTATCCCTAGGGTTAATAATTTGATTTAAAACTTAACAAAAACCACTTGTTTGCAACTGGTTATAATTATATACGAGTGGCTCAATAAAAGAAAGTTTTTTCCCCTGAAATACATGGAGATAACGAACACTGGCAGTATTTGAGCTCAGAATCTATTAAACAATGCAAATAAGAGCAGAGCAAACACAGACCTCCAAAATATCAGAGTCTGGTTATTGGCAGGGGATGTTCACTCCTTCGTTTCCTTCTAATTCTAATATAGAGTTCGTGTTTTCTTTGCCTTAGCTTTGTATTGTTTTAATTGATTTACAGTGTATTAGCTTGATTACTGTAAGTCATCTCCATATTTTCATTCAACATCCCAGTATTCATTCAGAAAACAAAATCTTACAGAAAAAGCATCTTGAATGCAATAGGCTCACGTGATCCTTAAAAATATGTGAGCTAAAATATTTCAATTAATAATTTTTATGACAATTTTTGTATTGAAGATTTTTTTTTTCGCAGTTATCTGTTATTCATGTAGACTTTAACTTTATTGCAGTGCTCTGTTATTTACATTAACTTTACCTTTATTGCAGTTTTCTGTAGACCAACCAGGTTCACAACCTTTGTCACATTTTCCGGTCACGAGATTGCAGCCATCTTTACAGTGCCCTTCACAGACTAGTTTACAATCTCTGCCATACGTCCCTAGGGCGCAAGCTGAAAGATTTACGCTTGGAAATAATTTTAATTAAAAAAAACTCTCCTTTGCATTACTTTTCAAATTGTAATCTTATCATTTATAGATACTTTGATAGACTATATTAAAAATATTTTTTACACTGGTCGCAGTAGTTTCCTGTCCACCCATCAGAACAATTATTGCATATACCCTGTGTTGCGTCACAGACGTTTCCAAGGCAGTTTGTTGAACACTGCAATTTACAGTGTTCTCCGTACCATCCTGGACTGCAAGCTGTCAACGGAAAAAGATGTCTTTTAAGTGTAAAACTAGATTTTCTTGAGAATATATTGTTCAAAACAAACGACAACATAGGTTTAAAGGTTCAGCAGGTTATTTTATCAAATAAATAAATACATTGTATTTAATATAGCATCTATTTCGCCCATATGCAAATAAGATGCTTTTATCTTGGCAGCGCAATATTTTTTTGGCGCAGTGATCTCTATTTGTTTCGGCACGAGTTATCTAACTTTCAACTATATAAAGAAAGGTGCTCATGCTGCAAACTCTCTCTTTGCCGGTTACACGCTAGTTGCAAGGTTGGTGTTAATCAAATTTGAGAAAACAATGGCTAAATGTAGAATTTTAGAAATCCCTCCCTACCCTTATCCCCCAAATGTACATTAATGAATAGATACTGCTGGTTTCTGTTTTTTTTTCTTTTCAGTGGAAAATTTTACAGAGCAAATGGTCTTCTTTACCTTCATATTCGGAACGACTCTCACTTCTGAAGATGGACTGCGAACCGAGTTTTCGAAGCAACTTATAACCTGTACCTACATATTCGGCACGGCTGTCACTTCTAAAGATGGACTACGAACTTAGCGGCATATATCATTTGAACTATGATGTAACATGGGTTCATTATTGCACATCTGCACCACTCAGGGTCAAAGTTGAATACCATGTAAATATTGTGACACTGTACACAAAACTATTTTATTTTTATTTTCTTCCTTGCCTTCTGCACCTCCCAGAGTCCTGGATGTGTCAATATTATTGTTGCACTGCAACTTTTTATTAATTGACCTTGACCTCTGCATCTCCAGGGGCCAAGGTCACCTGATATGTTGATGTTGTACTGAAATGTTGTTGACCTTGGCCTCTGCATCTCCCAGGGTCAAAGTCACCTGATATGTTGATGTTGTACTGAAATGTTGTTGTTGAACTGAAATGTTATTGTTGATGCTGGGCCTACCCGTTGCTTGGAGGCCCGAAATAATATGTTGTTATATTATTCAGCCGTGCCCAAAAGCGCCAAATAAATATAAAACCATTAAAAATTTTCTTTGATTTATTGCGTCTATCCAAAATAAAACAATCTATTGAACTCATGCATATCGTGGCCCTGTACCCTGTAAAATTAATGTACAGATGTATATATTAATCAAGCATTCATATTATTATACAAAACACTAATCATAAAATAGTCTCTCACTGATGTAAAATACGAATCTTGACGCATTGCAACATAACAAATTAATCGTTTCAAATTCTTGAGTTGAAAAGTTCATACGTAAATCACCTGCATCATTTATAGAAGACACCAAAGAATTGGTCACATTATTTCCGTATTTCGATGCTATACCGACTATAATTGGCAAGAAAAAATAAGCTTTTTTGTTAAAGAGATTGATCAAAATTTTCCATTATGCTCATTTAACTAATCATTTAACTTCCGTAACACATAGATCATAACCCATCTAAAATGCAGTTATTGTCAAACAAATTGATCAAAGGAATAATTATTGTCTAATTTGAGATAATCAGTTTTATTACATTTTTACCCGTGAAATACTGTAATTTATTCATTGAATAAACATGATATCCTGTCACAATGTGAAAGGATATTAAAATGATATCCTGTCACAGTGTGACGAATATCAGAAGTGCGGGAAAACTCTCGATTTCCCTTTCAATAACGAATATTACTATAAAAAAATCTCCCTTGACCTAATATAAGATAGATGGAAATAAATAAAACATTCTGACAGCGAATAAAACTGTTAAAATTACCAAACATATGTTGCTAAATCAATGATTACAGTGTTTTCACTTCACATAGCTATGACGTCTCAACCGCTCAACTATGACGTCACGAGCCTGTGACTGTATTACAAAAAGACAGAGGCAAAGGAAAAATCAGAGGATTTTATTTAAAAATGTAATAAACAGAAAATTCAATGTTTTGTAGTTGAATATGAAATTTATTTCACTCGTGAGACAGGATTTTTTGATATTTTCACTCGTGCTTCGCACTCGTGAAAATATCAAAAATTCTGTCACACTCGTGAAATAAATTTCATATTCAACTACAAAACATTGAATATCCTCTATTTATCCAATGCTTATCTCTTTATCCCAGGGATATGACTCATTTGATATTTTTTGGAGTCCTATATAAAACAGTGAATAGGGGTGCATAAAACATGGGATAAAAAGAATCCCCCATGGTTTGTGGTTTGATATGATTGGGAGTTGAACTATGTTCAATCTCCCATGGTCATCACGCATTGAACATGCGCAGTAATTTTTGTTGATTATATAGAGCCGAGAGCAAGGCTACTGTATCGATCGATTTACTCCAATGATATTCAACAGAAAACTTGCATAAACATCCGCCTTAATAGTTCATGTCATTCTTTCCTGAATTTATCTATTTTCATAACATGAAATGTTAGTAAATGTAATGATAAAGTAATCTTATTTTGAATATTGGATATCGTTCAAAGTAAAACTAAATTATAAAGAACCTCAAAAGTTTTTCGTAATGGAACTCATTCTTAGTTTAGCGTCATACACTGAAAGAGATACGAAAGACAACTCTTCATTCTGACGGCAAGCGGTAAATAATGGTAGTGTCCATTTTTGGCGATGGAAAACCCAAAATATGTGTCGGATGAAAAAGTAATAGAAGGTGCACAACGTCAATATATAATAAAGATTCTATGAAAATTTCGTTCAGTTTAAGAGGAGTTGCGGGTTAGAGATGGGTATACCTAAAGCGAAACAAACAGATGGACGGAAATCCCGATTAATAAATACCCTCCCGCTTTTTACGCAGGGGGTATAAAAAAGGACTAATGTAGGCAGGCAAGCATTATAACCCATGCATTTTTTTGCTATTCTATGTCTCTGAATGTCTTTCTCAAGATTGTTGCAACTCAAAAAATCTGAAACAGTTGTCTGTTTTTGAAATAATAATAATGTTCACTCATTTAACCTCCCGATCAAAGATTTCATTTTACATGTACACCATGTTCAACTCCCATAAGTGCTTTCAGTTCTTTGATTTTTATCCAACTCATTGTGTGTTTTCATACCCTTACCGGGGATATAAAACACACAACTCTTTGGATAAAAATCATACCAAAATACAAATCCTGTGAGATTCTATGCATAAGTTATATTGTCGATACAATCACCTTGTCATCAAATGCATTTTTATCTGAGTAAAATACTGATGACGTGTTTATTAGGTATTGTTAGGCCCTTATTTACGCACTGAATTTTTGGTGGATTTGTTGTGCTATTTCCTTAACATGACACAGTGCATACGACGGGTGTGACCAGTCGGCAAGGTATGCCTACTCCACATTGGCCTTTGTCTCAACTTTCATGTTTTAGACCTCTGTGTTTTCTCTCGATTGTAATCTATTAAATTGATTTTTAAAGCTTGAATACTGTAAAAAAAAAAAACTTATTTTATTTCATATTCATGAGCATTATTTTCTTTAGTACCTGAGCGTGATAAACGACTTACAAATATGTTAATTTAACAAGGATTTTACCATTGTCGTTTAACGTTTGAGTTCAGAAAAAAGTTAGTAAGTTCATAGTAGTTTTTTGTAATTCACCAGTACTTTTTATATGGTTGTAATTTATCAAACGTATTTCAAACCAATTTGTACATGTGATAGCCCGTTGTATTTATAATATGGTTTGTATATCTGATCAATACAAAGGAACCGGTCATCAGGGGAAGCTCAATCCTCCGTATCACCTGATCCCAGCGCTAAAATTTTATGGGCATAATTCCTTAATTTTCTTTCAACAGATTTTTATGTTATAATTTAAGAAAACAGACTAAGAAACGGCTACTGAAAATCAACCATTATCTAAATGAGCGAGTGAAAAGAATCATATTAGAGCATTATTCAAGGTATTATCCACCGCAACCCGTTGTTCTACCTTTTCTTCAGTATCTTTCAGTAAAAAGTTAGAAGATCCATGTCATCTGAATAATGATTCTATCTTGTTCAAATGTATTTATGTGACTACATTACTATTAGGTTTTATTGTGAAAAAAATGCAAAGAAGTCAAACTGAATCAACGAAATAGTTTTTTTTTTATTATTATTATTATCAATTGTTTATCGGGATAAGGCAATCTCCAAAATGTTCTTTTAATATATTTGTTCCCAAGCAATCCTTAAATGAATTTAATGTCGATTTTTCTCATAGCTTCTCTCTTTCGTTGTTTTGGTGCTGTTATGCATTTTTTTCCGACTGTCTCAATGTGGTGGAAAATGATCGAACTAATATAAATAAAAGTTTGTTGGTATTTCAAATTGCAATAGAGGTATTGCATCTAAATGACCTGCTATATTTGTGTTAGAAATATGATTAAAATATAAATACATTTAAATCTTAGATTTTTTATCTGTATAGTTTTATATGCCCTGTTCATTTCTTTAATGTTTTTTTACTTACATAATTATTATACAAGAACTTCGTCGAGCTATTATGTTTAATGTGAACGTCGCTACTTTCGAAGTCTTATTTTATTTTTATTTTTCATTTATTTATTGTTTGTTTGTTTTTGTTTTTTTTTTTTTAATTATTAGGTCTTAACGGCCCTGAAACGGAATAGCTGTTTTCTAGCTTTCCTAAGCTCATTTTCAACAAAAAGGTATATATTGATTAACTAAGGTAAAATAAGTAATGTGCTGGGTTTTTTTTAATATATCTACGAGGGTTGTTCGAAAGGTTCGTGGACAACTGTCATATCTTTTTTATTTGACGTCATATGTTATCCAAATTTAGTAGAAATATTTTTTACAATAAATCCAAATGATTTGTATAATTTGTTCTCAAATTTTTACGATTCAATAAAAACTTATCCAGATTTTTAAAATGCAGAAATCGGATCGCGTAGGAGCAAAAACGACAAACAACCTAAATATTCAAATTAAGAATTGTTTCATAGATTCGTATACCAAAGTATGTCTTTATATTTTGCTTTGTTGAAAACAAATCAACTTTAGAAGATAGGTAGTCCTTATTGAAAACGAAAAAAATGATGACGTTTTAGAACGTCGCGGAGCAGCAGTTAATGATGCAATGTCGGGTTTTACTCAGCGAAAACCCAAATAAACTCTAAAAATTTTATAGGAATGATGAAAATATGTCACAAGCTAGTTGTGCATGTTTGTACAATTTTTAAATAGTACAGGCACTTTTTTAATGACAGAGACTCTGTATCGGATGGTGACAATCTGTGAAGCTACGGTTTAGCTGTAAACATCTAAATAAAAACTTTAAAAAGTTGGAAGGTCAAGGAAGACATGGGCGCTTTAGAAGTGCGTATCCTCTGAAAGCAGAGTTAGGTACTAAAAATTTAAACGTTTAACAAAGGAAATTATACAATGATACAATATATATATCAAGTATTAGACGGAGGTTTTAATGAGTAAGCATTGGCTTATACCGTGTGAAATGTGAAATTATAGGGATAGTGTTTTTAGAAATTTTTGACGGTATGTTTTGACGTTAAATTGCCGTTAAGTGTGCTCCGCGGGTACAAAACATGTTGATTCTAAAAATTAGTCGGTGCATATTTACATTTTGCATTAGCTATTGGGTACTACGGGTTACTCCTATAAGAGCCTTGGTTAATGTCCTTACGCTCCTTATATACCTCGGCGCCAAGTCAAAAGTATCTCTTCGTGAACCTCTAGCATGCTGGAGTAAAATACAGGTTAGCTAGGGGATACATTTTCACACTCTCTATCATATATCCTTTTTTTACAGCCATAAAAAGAATTTTGAAGTCTATATTTCTTATAACCTATTCCATGGCATATTTTTGCAGGGGTAAGGAGGGGGGTCCCTCCCAAAAATTCCTAAAGTAGGAAGCTTAAGATTAGTATAAACGGCCTAGATAGCATGCATGTTTACCCTAAAATACGCTAGGACTAGGAGATCCTCAAAATGCTCATAAATCCTTTTGCGTGAGTTATGACATATTATCTCACATTCCTTTTGTTGGAACAGTATTCTGAATATTCTTATGAGGAGTTTCATAGCATATCTTATTCAATCCAAATTCTTACACATGCTTTTACAACAATTTAAGTGCTTATATATAATATAATTATATATAATTAACATTCTGAGGATCCCTTTGTATATTTTAGGCTAAATAAGACTGTGTTTATATGAATGTTAGAGACATCAGATCACATTAAATATTACACAGTAATTAGAATTATATAACAATTGTAAAATGCAAAAATAACTGCATAGGAAATGAAATAAAAAAAGACCAAATTTCCAGATATCCAACTATATGCCCATGCAATACGCTTATATTCATTGAATAATCCAGTGAAACAACTTTTTTGACAAACGGGACAGACTTGTAAAATATAGCAAATTTAGTAAACAATTTTCTTATCAGAGGATAAATACCACATTTACATTCACTTAAACAGAACTTTTCATAACCAATTACTCTTCTTAATAACTGATGTTATCATTAGTATGTCAGAATATCCAGGGTGTTTAAATCATGTGCATTTATATATTATGTACTCAATATATGTATTTTACATGTAGATTTTTGAAATTACTGACTATATATAATTATATTTCCATGTATATACATGAAGGATAAAAAAGGGGGCAGACATATTTATAAATTTAAAGAGATTCTCAGACTGAGTTTTCCCATTTTTACTGGGCCACTATTGCACTAGAATTTAAGAATATGAATGACAAATAACACAAGAGATTATGCATGTTTCATAAAAAAGATCTAAGAGATAAAATTCATTGGCTATTATGATCTGAGTGATTATCTCCATATCCTTCATTTGGTCTCTGTGATAAAAGATTCATAGAAATATTAGAAATAACAACTAAGAATATTATTTTAGTTGTTGTAAAAGCATGTATCAGAATTTGGATTTAATAAGATATGCTATGAAACTCCTAATAAGAATATTCAGAATACTGATCCAACAAAAGGAATGTGAGATAATATGTCATAACTCACGCAAAAGGATTTATGAGCATTTTGAGGATCTCTTAGTCCTACTGTATTTTAGGGTAAACATGCATGGCAGTGTTTATATGAATGCCATATACATAAGGTATATAATACAGTCATCATGGATAGATACAAAGATGACCTTCATAGAAAATGTATAAACAAAAATATACTTCCAAATAACCATGTTTATACTCAGTATAGTGCTTATATTCATTAAATAATCCAGTGAAATAACATCTAACCTGATCCAGGATTCAGCTCTTCAGAACTTTCTTGGAAGTAAATGGTTGAAAATCAGTTTAAGTAATGATATCCATAGGACCATACATTTATTTACAAGTCTCCGGGGCTGTGAAAGTCTGTGTTATTGTGTCAAAATAAGCAGCCACCGAGGCTGTGAAGGACTAACATAACGACATAATCAAGATTTGAATCACTGCCGAGTTTATGACGTCACAATGCATAGGCGATTCGCTGTGTGTACAGTAGCGAGTGACTTGGGCTACTTAAAAGGTAAAGTAGCCCGAATGGATTACAGAGTAAAGAAGCTACAAGGGACCCCAGATCAAGAAGGAGAGCCCTCAGAGGTTCCTAAGAAAACCAGAGAGACCAGTCCCTGTTACATCTGTAAAAAAACGGACACTTGGCGCCTGAATGTCCCAAGAGAGATCTATGCTACAAATGTGGTCGATTCGGACATTGGGCTAACGAGTGTGACCAAAAGGATACCCAGCCGCCTCAGGAGAAAAAATCAAACAGACCTGCGGACCAGCCTAAGAAAAGAAAACAGGCGAGAGACACCAAGAAGACCTTGAAAGTCCAGAAGAAGCATTGACTTTGTATCTTTTTCTTGAATAAACTTTGATTCAAAATTTTAACTTGTGTTTTTCTTGATATCCATCTTATCTCAATGACCCATCAGAATCAATCAACCTAACCCTATGAGAATGGTCCATCCTCTCTGACCCATGGTGCAGCCAAGCGGATCCACGCTAATGCACCCTAGTGGACCCATTAGTGCAGCCTTGCGGATCCATCGTGCAGCCTAGCGGATCCATCGTGCAGCCTATCTAGGCCGTTTATACTACTCTAAAGGTGTAGTAAGATCATGCCTTTTTGATAGCGCATCAGCTGGGAAGGGATTTAGAATAAAGGTTTTAGTCATATGTCCCTTACATGTCTGTTGCAGTCCATTTACATTTGCAAATGCTTAGGGGTAAATACAAATTCCTTTTGTGTTTCTTGGCTTGAAAATTTATTTAGTTATACAACATTTAATTAATTTTACATCGTCCTCGGAAGAGCTTGGTTTCAAAAATAAGTGGTACTTGTTTAATCTCATTCCTTCAGAACTGGCAAGATACACTACAAAATATCAGAAAACATGTTCTGCAGTTTACAAATTGGGAATGTGAACACTTAAAATTATTGTCAACAATACAGAAACAACATAATCATTCTGAAAGGGGGGGGAGGAGTAAAGGTGCTCATTCATCTTGTTTGTAATCTTTGCAGGAAATTATTTTACAAATGTTTCTTTCAAATCTCCTAAAAATGAATAAGAAATAAGATTCAAAGGAATTAAGAAATTTATTTAAAAAAAGGGGGAGGGGGTTAAATCTAGATTAGACATATTTTCAACATTATTTTCTTACATTAGTCCAGTTAGTTCTATCTTTCTGACTCGGTGATATAGCTGGATATTATTAATAGAAATAAAGACCCAAAGCAATATAACTTCGAAAGATATCAAATCAGGGAGGGGGGGGGCGTTAGGCACGATTAATTTGAAGGGAAACTGGAATTATTTTAATGCAGCATAAATCTACAGTGGGTTTGAAATGAGAGAGAGTGATGTTCACGATGGATGGGTTGCTGAGGGTTTTGAGTAGGCTAGGAGTCCATGGTGTGTGGTTAAATTGAAGTTACCTAACCCCACCAGGTGGCCTTTGGCGGTTTTGTGGTTGATGTTGATATATGTGATGTTGACTTTGAAAATCATATCTTATATAATGTAAATCTAAAGCAAAATAATATAATTAAAAGACAATTTGTGTTGAAATGTGTCCGTAGCACGAATGAGGTCAACCCGACATGCTACTTTTCCCGTCAAGGAGGGCACAACTTTTGTTGATGTTTGGGGTATGCCAGTTTGCCGGCTGTCCCACTGTTGTGTAGACCACTGTGGACAATACCTAAACTTAAATACTTAGCATTTGTTCATTATATATAGGTCTTTGATAACATGTATAAATATGCATGTACAATTGTACAATTGTTAAAAAAAACGTGTTCTGTGTGGCTTCTTACATAGGCGTCGGAACCAGGGGGATGGGGGGGGGGGGGGAGGGGCTAAGCCTCCCCATCCCACTTTTTTGCACAAATAGTATATAGACATTGAAAATAAGGGCCAATCTTTTTTTCCATTGTTTAGCCCCCTTTCAATTAAAGCCCCTCCCCCCACACTTTCAAATTGCTTCCGACATCTATGGCTTATAAGCTCTTTGCAGCGGGAAGGTAATATCTATATATATAGCCAGATATGACTAGCATTTCATGCTAAAGCACAAAATATATGACAGCAACATTTAGAAAACAAACAAAAATAAATTTACAATATACGAAAACAGTCTTATCATACTTACCCAAAACGTATGTCATATACACCATCAAATAAATCACAACATATATGAACAATTGAATTTCCATGGCTTCACGGTTTACATATTGAAAAAAGTGGCTTCTTCAATCCGGCATAATATTACTAATGCACATTAAATAATTGCAAACACTACAGTTTTACGAGAACTAGATAAAAGCTAAAAATAACGCATGTTGTAAACAAGAAACCTCGTTTTAAAAACAAAATATTCATTACATCCTTTTTTCATTGCTCGTAGAGAGTAGATCAATTGGACCAGCAGTGACCTGAGTATTTTTGGTACTGTGTAGTAAAGTTGAAAAGGCCTAGCTTGACCTACTTGAAAATCCGGTGGTAGGGGAGATCCGTTCAATTCCGGACACTTTTGTCCTGTTTAAATATGTAACACCCAGAAAACGAAAATAAACACTCAACACACTCTGATTTCAAGTGGTAAAGTATGGAAACACTTTTTGGCAACAAAATGCAATGAATATTATCATGAAACACAGTGAAATATCTTTTATTGATAACAAAATGAATTCAGGTGGTGAAATAGTGCAAGTCCGGACAACATTGGGTAATTCCAAACAGAGGCGGGGTTAATCCGGACAGGAGAGCAATACATGTATGTTCTTTGAACAATTTTTTGTGAGAAAATACATTCCATTGACATGCAACGTTGTTAGACAAAGCTTGCTTAAGTTATACATTACTTAGCATGTATATTGCACATTTTCACGAGAGAGAGAGAGAGAGAGAGAGAGGTAAGGGATTCAAAGCATAGAAATGATATTACAGAGCCCCCCCCCCCCTTCCCAATTTGATTTTTGTAAAGAAAATTGTTTGATCGTCAGAAAGAGTAATTCATTAAATAAAAACAATAATTCAGCCACTGGATTATTTTTTCTTGGGTATTATATGGGCCGACCCGTCCATGCCTAGGTGTCAACCGTCACGGGTCGATTTCTCATTGGTCCGAAATGTCTGTCTATCCATAAAACCAGCGTCCGGAATTCCCCATCTAGAAAAAAATCAGTGGGGGAAATTGGAACACATTGTTTCATAAAAATTAATGAAAAATTATCATTATTTTGTATTATTTATCCTATTTTTTTCTTTTTAAACGTATGTTCTCTACAGAAGAAATTTTGAAATAATAAATGGAAATAAATATTTATCTTAGATGTTGTTTTAATTCTATGTAATGTTACCCATAATTTGTTCAAATTTTGCCGCCGAATGGATTTCCGGAACGTAAAAGTCCAAAGTCTAACTTTTGACGTAATTATAGCATTCAGAATACCCTAGAATCATTATATTGTTTTTAAAAAAAAGATAACAATGACACCCACTTTCCAAATGTACCTCTTTTATCCATAATCAACCATACAGAAATTACCGAAAAATAATACAAAAGAGAAAGACTGTATTATTTGTCCATAATTACCCCGTGTCTAGAATCGGACGGATCTCCCCTAGTGCAATTAAGCAAATTTGGTGTAGGGCGGCGCTGACTGCTGCAGCCAAGTTAAAAATAAACTCCGGCATGCTGATAACAGAAGACAGCACATGTGTAACTTGGCTAAACAAATCGCCCACTGTGATAATCTTTCCAGAGTATAAATACAAAGCAGGATTTACAAGACACACTGCTGATTTATTGATTAACTAGTACATTATTGAGTATATACAATTCTGATTAAAATAATAATATATTAATTATTTCAATTTCATTTATATTATCAATATTTCCTATGTACAAAATAATCTGGACTCAATATTATAACAGTTTATTTCAGTAAAAGCTTTCGACAGATTTACATCAGCTATTATCCCTATATTTAAATGTTTTTTGTACACTTTCTTCCCTTTTTGGCTTCGTGGGGCATTCGGATACACAGAGGTGTGCTCCCTGTCAACGTTCTCATTCCAGTGGCACACAGCTAAGTTTGATCTAAGTTTATACTGGTTTTCTCCAAACACTATTTAAACACTATTCTTTTGTCCTGAAATATGTTCGTGAAATTATTAAAACTTACTACATGGAAAGTATCTTTACCCAAAATATAATCCTCGGGATATTTATAGATAACTGATCATTTAAGTGCATTTTCTAAACGTTTTTGGCGATTTTACTTTACGACTCGGGAAGGCTCCTAGTTTTCATCTTTTCTGCATCTTGACTCTGGATGACACTTTTCATGCAAGTTTTCATAGTGCGGAATGATATTCTCTATAAATTCTTGTAGTTTTTAGCTCACCGGAGCCGAAGGCCCGTCGTCTGTCGTCGACGATTTGGCGATTTTACTTTACGACTCGGGAAGGTTCCTAGTTTTCATCTTTTCTGCATCTTGACTCTGGATGACACTTTTCATGCAAGTTATCATAGTGCGGAATGATATTCTCTATAAATTCTTGTAGTTTTTAGCTCACCAGAGCCCAATGCCCGTCGTCTGTCGTCGTTGTCGTTGTAAACTTTTCACATTTTCATCTTCTACTCAAAAACCACTGTGCAAATTTCAACCAAACTTGCCACAAAGTATCCTTGGGTAAAAGGGATTCAAGTTTGTTTAAACGAATTCAGAGCCATGCCCTTTTCCAAGGGGAGATAATTTTGAATTTGTGAAAAATTAATGCCATTTTTAAAAAAATCTCCTTCTGAAGAACGACTGGACCAGGAAAGATGAAACTCATGCATAATCATTCCCATGTAATGTAGATTCAAGTTTGTTCATAATATGACCCCCTGGGGTAGGGTTGGGCCAAAATGGCCGATCGAAGTTTTACATAGGAAATATTGGAAAAATCTTTAAAAATCTTCTTGTCAGGAATCACTGGGCCAGGAAAAATGAAACTCATATGGATTCATCCTCAGATAGTGTAGATTCAAATTTGTTCAAATCATGACCCCCTCGGGTAGAGTGGGGCCAAAATTGCCGATCAAATTTTTGCATAGGAGTATATAGGAAATTCTTTAAAAATCTTCTTCTCAAAAACCTTTGAGATAGGAAAGATGAAACTCATGTTAAATTATCCTCAGATAGTGCAGATTTAAATTTGTTCAAATCATGACCCCCTGGGGTAGGGTGGGGCCAAAATGGCTGATCAAAGTTTTACATAGGAATATATAGGACAAAATCTTTAAAAATCTTCTTCTCAAGAACCACTGGGCCAGGAAAGATGAAAGTCATATGGATTCATCCTAAGATAGTGTAGATTCAAGTTTGTTCAAATCATGATCCCCGGGATAGGATGGGGCCAAAATGGCCGACCCAAGTTTTACATAGGAATATATAGGAAAAATCTTTAAAAATCTTCTTCTCAAGAACCATTGAGACAGGAAAATTGAAACTCATGTGAAATTATCCTCAGGTAGTGTTGATTCAAGTTTGTTTAAGTCATGACCCCTGGGGATAAGGTGGGGCCAAAATGGCCGACCAAAAATTAATTCTCATAAGAATATAAAGGAGAACCTTTTTTTTCAAGTACTTCAAAGCCATGATTAGTAATGTTTATGTAGAATTATCCTCAGGTTGTGTAGATTCTAATCATGATATGTGCTTTTTCCTAGCTGATGTGCTCAGTTGAGCGCTGTGATCCCTGGGCCTTTTGTTTTGGATTTCCATCACAATGACGAACAGCCCAATGAATATGAGTGGCAATTAGTTCGATCTTGTCAACTAACTGCTCACTCCAGGTAAAACCCTCGGACTTTTTACTGCCACAGGGAATCTTTTTCAGTGATTTTTTAAGTGCTTCACTGAATGCCATAAGTCGTTTTGATTTGTTGTTTCTTGAGAATCTTTGATAAATTTTTAATACTGAGGTTTCTATAGTGAATGTGGATCTTGACGGTGAAATCTTGGGAGGGTAAATTTTCATATATGGTCTCTGTGCCAATTTTTTCATGTAGTTGAGAAACTGGGTCTTGTTGTTTTGTGACATGGACACAATCCAGAACTTTGTGACATTTCTCACCGATGGCCACTACAGATGTGTCTTGCATTTTTACGCCATCGATGCCTAGCATCAGTTAAAATATTAATTCCATCCAAATCTTCGTAACTTCCTATTTCTTCATGAAAAGCATCTTAAATGGATTCTTGATATTCGGCCTCAACAGAATTTTCATATTCTTCAAAAACTTGTTTCTTCCTTGCCCAGTTGATACATCCTAATCCACTTTCATTGGAGAATCTTGTGTAATGAGTTGGTAGCACTACACATGAGACCATGACGTTTTTGGTGGTTGACTAGATATTCATCATTGTGTAGATATGGTGATGATGACCAGGAATAACTATGCATTTTGTCCTTGGGGCATTGGAGGCGCAAAGAGATGACATATCCTTTCATAGTTTTCTTTGAAAATTTCAATTTTCTATCACAGTTTTTGGTATGAGCTTCACAAAGTTCACAAATTTGCAGAAGTGATGATTCTGCACAAACAAACATTTTCTGATTTACGTCCCTCTTCCTGACTTGAAGATATGTTGATGGAAATTGTTTCTGATTTGGCTCCACTCTTTGATCCTCTGGGTGTTTTTTAACCAAAAGTTCCTTAATTATTACAGCATTGTTTACAGGTGCATTGCTCTTAGAAGTGAGAAAAGGTTTCACCTCTTGAAGTTTTCCCTGAATTTTAGTTTTAAATTCTCCATCACCTGGAATTTCTAGTCTAAAATTTGGTGGATGTTTCTTTGAATTTTAGTTTTAAATTCTCCATCACCTGGAATTTCAAGTCTAAAATTTGGTGGAGGTTTCTTTGAGGATTTTTTTGCCATGATGTTGAATACACATGTACAAGATTTTGATCGTTCTGAGAGATATTGTTTTATTATATATTGGTAGGCAGTAATGCTATATATGCGATATGCTGAAAAAATGCGAGCTTTGGAACATTACCAGCTGGGACAAGAATGACACAGACGTGACATAATGCGGACATGTGTAGTGAACACTAAATGGCTGATATATAGCGGCCGTCGATTTACACTAATGTTATGTTTGTAACGTGTACAGCATTTTCAACGAAACCCAATGACAACTTACACTTAAAACAAAAAGTGTACAAAGTGTACAGCGTCATTGCGAAATTCCATATACACTCTACACAAACTTTTGTGTTAAGTATACATGGAACGTTTCATGTACACTGTACATCTAAAGTTGGCATCAGGTAACAAAATAAAGAGAAAAATTCGTGTTCTTTCCCTTTTTTCTTCCCTCACATTGGTACCTGCAAGTGCATTTGTATAATTAAAAGTTTAGATATAGACTTTATCAAGTTAAACTTATTTGTAACAAATGTACGAGTATAGGCAAGACCCATCAGCCAGGTAATTTTAAATTCATAGGACCCGATGCTGTGATTTTTTTTTCTATTTCTCTTTGATTTTGACATCATTTTGAATAAGTTATATATTTCTTATTGAAAGTATTGTTTTTACAGCAATGTAAAATCTGCACTACCTGAGTATGATTCCACATGAGTTTCATCTTTCCTGGTCCAGTGGTTCTGGAGAAGAAGATTTTAAAAGATTTTTCCTATATATTTCGATCTAAAACTTGGGTC